TATCTATCTACTCTGAGTTTCTGTTTAGACAAGAAAATGTCTGAGACTTCTATCCTGAGTCTCAGCTCCTATACAGTCTAAACACAAGTCTAACTAATGGAGATTATTACCTCCCTTACATACCTTGGTTTGTCTCCTAAAAAAAGGAATGTGTGTGGCATATAGTCCACACCGTAATTGAGATGTGACCTCTAGTTAAGCAAACAACCCAGTGTCATCCTTTAGTGTCCTACCTCTAGATAGTCTCACCATGTTGTCTTTGAAAAATTACATTAATCCCTTCTGACTTAGAAGGCGCAGTGGCTGAGTGGTCCCAGGTTCGAATCCTGTTAAAGACTGGGATTTTTAATATTGAGTCCACCCAACTCTAATGGGTACCTGAGATTAGTTGAGAAAATTAAAGGCAGTTGGTCGTTAAGACGTTAAGTTGGTCGCATGACACCCTCATTAACCCAAGAGCCACAAAAACATCATTTGCCCTACAGACTGCATGGTCTGAAAGGGGAACTTAACTTTTGATTTTTACTTCTGACTTAGTGTGTTCCCACATCTATCTATACACTCAATGTGATTGACTGGTGTGTCTATCTCTATCTGGAGATAGCCCTGCACTGCTTGACAAATGTCTAGTAAATGTCACTTAGTTAAGGAATCAATCTTGTCAATGATTCATGAGTTCGAATTTAGGGTCGTCCCCCTCCCCACCTTTTTTTTTTTTTATAAATCCCTTTAAAAGGGATTACGATAAATTTCACACAGATATCCCTTTATCCTCCCCACCCCCCACACCCCATTTTTTCATCTTGTCCAGACAAGTGATTTAGTGTATTTAGAAAGCTAAATGCATGAAATATGCTAAACAAAGTTATTGTCAGTATCCACAAATAAATCAATAAAGATACACGTTTCAATGAAAAAAAAATTATTTAATTTCTAACCTTTTTCTTTTTTGTTTGTTTTTTAATTTAATTTTGAATCATTGTTTTTTGTAGGCTAAATACTCAATACGAAAACACATAGAAGAAAAGGAAACATCTGATGTGCTACATTTGAATTTAATTGGTGAGTACAAAAAAATTATTATCAAAATTTTAATTGTTAATAATAAATGTATGCTTTAGTGTCATTACCTGATATGAAGGGATTGTGTGGTTAAAATATGTCTAAGTATTTTCAGAACTATGTCTGTTAACACAATTGACCTTATTGTCAGAGATACTTATTTAAGTGAAGAAACAAAACAGAAATCCTATTTGCCAAATAAAACACTTTTATTCCTCAACTTGAACACACATTACAAATACACAGTAAAATTAATTTCACTAGTAGATTTTACAAAAGTAGACATAATAAACTTATTTGAACAATTGAACTACCCAGCTTAGTGTCGTCCCCCTTGGTTCAGAACCCTTCCTAATCTTCATTTCACCAACTGCTGAGAATTCTTACTTATAATATACTTTGTGATTCAATATTTTTAGAACTATGGAAATTCCAGTATCTATTACTAGTAGTATGAGCAAGTTATCATATTTTCTCGAAGTTAATTAATTTATTTGTCCAAGTAATGAGGTCTTGTTGGGTATATTACAGTAGTATGACAATCTTCTGAACCTTTTTTTTTTGTAAACAACTTATTTATTCAAACCACATGACCTTGATGCTACACTACGCTACGTTATGTGATAATACAGATATATACATATGAAGCCAGTTTTATTGAAGTGAACCAGTAGGCTGTTTAGTTATCTATGAAAAAGAACTCATGTTACTTTTTTTTTGTTTCTTTCATAATTTTTGTCAATATACTCACTTAATTTTTAAAGTTTATTTAGAAAACAAAACAAAAAAAAGGACAACTTTATTATTGCAACTCTAACATTTGTTTCTTAGAGGAACGTATTAACACAGTCAAGCAGCTTTGCACAGACCTGGACACAGTTTTACAGAACACAGAGCTCTTAGTTAATCGTCTTCAGAAACCATTTGTAGGAAGCTATTTAAAGATAGATGCTGCTTATCACAGGTAATTTGATCTTCAGTTTAGGACATTTTGGAATTTGACATTGTTTAATAAAAGAAAAGAGAGAAATAGCTTTGCACATGCATTATTTAAAAAAAAATAATGATCCTTAATTTAAGATAATTAATGTTTCATAATTCCTTTTTTTTTACTTAAAAAATGTGTATTCAAGGTACTTTATACTGGAAAATTTATTCCACTATTGCATTGTCCCTGAAATATGTAAAAATGTTATTATCATCAAGTTTAGTTTTGATCATTATTATTATCTATGTTAAATCAGCACAAGCTGAGCACAGTACCTAACTTATAATATGTGATTCTATATCTTACTAACAAAATACTTTGTGATTCAATATGTTACTAATAATATATTATGTAATTCTATATCTTACTTATTATATACTATGTGATTCAATATCTTACTTTTAATATACTATTTTTCATTGGCTGTGGGGTTGTGATTACAGTTCAAAAAATGTATTTCTATTTTCTTTAATTTAGGACTATTTGTGGTTCCAACATCAACACTTTTGATATATTATGATTTAAACAAAACACATTACCAGTTTATCTCTTCTCTTGACTGTGACATTATGTTTCCATATGTCAAAAATATTTCACTAACTAATAAAAAATATTTTATTTTTAATCATGAATAAGCTTTTTAGCAGGTACTTAAAGCTTAGTTTACGCCAAAAATATATTATTTTAAATGTTGATGTGTGGAGGATGATATTTAATAATCATTAAATAATACTAATAATTCCCTTTTGATACTAATTTCATTCATAACCTTCTTCTTTACAGGCATGCTTCTGAATTATTCATGCAGCTTGCGCCAACATTAAATGATCTGAACTTTCATTTAGAAAACTTGACATGGATGGCTAATAATGATTTCTCTGCTGCACAATTGGTAAGACTTTATTCATGATTTTATATTATGACAAGCAAGAACTACTATATAAAAGTTTGCTACTGAAAGCATCAGCTTGCATTCATTTATGAACTATGGGTGTGAATCATAATCCTTGGTTTTGGGAGCAATAAAGCAGTCTTAGTCTTAGTCTTAGCCTTAGTCTTAGTTAGTCTTAGTCTTAGACTTAGTCTTAAAAGGAAGTTGTTGCACAACTATTTCTTACAGAGCTCAGTGATAATAGAGTTTATCATCCATTAGGGGCAATCTAGAACAATCTAGAAGTATGGCATAGTTTTAGTTTAGGATAATTCTGGAACATTTGATCCCTGACAGAGTGTTTTATTGTTAAGGAAATATGAACTATTTCAAATATGAATTAGAAGTAAAGTTTCAATGATTATAACTCTTGTAATTGTATCTTGACCAGCAAACTATGATAAATACTGAGTGTTTAACTTTTTATTGGCAGCATAGCAAAATTTGACTTAATAATCTTGAATCTTTATTTCAATGTGAAAATTGGTAATTGTGCTTTCATAAATAGTTTGAAATTATCTATTAAATAATCATACTAAAAAAATGTGTTTATTCTAATAATATAACAGTGTGTTGTATACAGTTATACACTAGGCCTTTTATATGATCTAATCATAATATTGTGTGTTTTATATAAGATAATCATAGGATGACAATTATTTTTACATTACAATTTGTTACACACAAATGGAGGAACTGACAATGAAGAAAGACTGGAAAAGTCAATTGCAACTGGCGATCTCTCAGATAGTCCTAGAGCAGAAAGGCAAGCACTGGAACTAGCAGCTACCATACTAATAGACTACCCATTTTCACCAAACACCCATATTATTTTATTGACCGATGCCAAAACAGTCCTTCAAAGCCTGAAAAAATTGGATACTTCCTATATAAAGCAACTCAGGACAGCTCTTGGTAAACCTTAACATCAACAGCAAGGAAACTGTTATTCAATGGATTCCAGGATACATTGAATTAGAAGGCAATGAAAAAGAAGACATATTGGCCAAAGATGGAAGAATGAACAAACAAATGAAAATCCCTTTCTACCCGGAAGAAATGATGAAAACGATAAAGTGTAGAATAAATGAGAATAGGACTAACTCACATCCCAATCACAAGAAAAAGGATGCCTATTGTGGGCTGTCTTGGCGTGACCAATGCATTATTTTTCAACTCAGAGCTGGACACAGCAAAGTAGGATGACATGTGTTTTGGAGGCTAGAGGTCAGGACTGGCAAAGGTAGCCCTTGTGGTGCGTCGCTAGAGAGTGTTGATCATTTCCTTCAAAGCTGCATACTGTATCAAGAGGCCCGAACAAGACTTTGGCCCCAAAACCCTCCTATAGAAGAAAAACTTTACAGAGCACTGCCTGATCAGGAAACCACTGCATGGTTCATCTCAGAAATAGGATTACTGATCTGAACCCTCCAACATGTAAAATGAGAATGAAGAAGAAGAAGTTACTCAAGAAGTTTATGTCTCTCGTGATTATGTTTTTGTTTACTAATTAGTTTCAATCATGCTTAAAAAAACAGCAAGCATATATGAATGCTAACTTTATTATTATTATTTTTTTTTTTTTAGGAGCATCTTTTGAAGGAAATTCAAAGTCGTGCTGCTTCTTTGCAAACAACCTACCATACGTTATCACAAATAAGAAAAGGCATTCAGAAGTTAAATCGCAGTTCTGACATTTTGTCTGTGATGGATCAATCTGCTGATTCAAGTCTAGCTACTCCTAGAAAAACTTAATACAAGTCAAACTAATCCTAGAAGAAACTGATTTTGAAAGAACATTTTCATTTTATTTTAAACTCAGGCCAGTTGCTAAAATTTTTTAATGATGTTACACATTAATGCACTATAGAACTGATGTTTTTTTTTTATAGCTGATAGAATTTTATTGAAATATTTATTTGTAAAAAAAAAAACAGCCACACCTGCCTACTATACTTGTAAATTTATAGTTATGTTTTGGCTAATCATACATTTTCCACTTATGTTGGATTGCCTTTCATTGTAATTGTTGAAACACTTGTTGTTTTAGTTGATATATTATTGAAAGTTGGATAAAATTGAAACAATCTGCTTCTGAGAAATTAATTTTTAAGTCAATCATTGATTTTAAGTTGAATTTTTATTTAATCAGATATTTGTACTTTTTCATTTTTTTTTTATTGAACTCAAAATTGAATTTAAAATCAATGTGATATATTGTCATGTTGAGAAGTTTTATTCACAAATACCCTTTGAATATGGACTATTTTAGTTTGAAGACTTCAATTCATTCACAAGTAAATATAGGCCAATGAGTATGGTCTATCGACAACAATGCACCTTTAAAAAGCTTTGATTGAAACATTAAGAGTGTAATGCGGAAGTATTAAAACTTTGAAATGTCAGCACCAAACTCTGTCAATTAAGTATGATAATGAAACTAAAATAATCCAAGATTATTGTCTTGTGTTTTTTCGTTGTTGTTTTTTTTTGTTGTTGTTTTAATAACTCACTCTGTATGTTTGGTTTAAAGTTTGTACACATTATTTCTCCCACACTGTCATATATGACATGTATAGTTTTAGAACCCCTGTAATATTTGGTGACTAGTAATCACTGAACCATTCCGTGCTGTTAGCACGAGATTTTTCCTGGTCGGGGACTGACCACGAGGTGGACACCTCAGTTGATCTTGGACTCTCGTAGAGAGAGGTATATTATTGATATCTTGTCCAGTGTAGTAATGTATAGAAATTAAGGTTGATTTTGGAGTATATATGATATCTGAAGTATTTCATTGGATTATAATGTACTATGTTTTTGTGAATATTTCTTGATGGTTGGACTTGCCAATATCTTGTATGATTCATTATTATATGTAATAAAAACCATGTCTGCTACCAGTGAGTCTATTAATTATTCTAAATATTGTGGTCAAAGAGTTCAGCATGTTAGTGTTCTCACGCATCTGCAAATATAGTGCGTGTGAGAAAGTATTTAATTAAGGCACACAAAGGCAGACCAGCTCAAGACCGTCCAGACCTGTAACGATAACCAGCCGATGACACACACCCTATCTAGCATTAAGCTGAAAATTTGCACAATTATATTATTTCTTTTAATTATATTATTTCTTTTACCTGACAACTCAATAATTAGAAAAAAATGAAGCAATTAGTTAAATAACTATTGGTAATTTATTATTTTGTTTGGTATCTCGAACAAGCAAAGAAATTGTTCTTAACTGAAGTGGAGGTATAAACTGAATATTCCCCCTTTATAGATCGTCATTTGAGGCTTAATGAACAGAAAAATGAAATAGAAACAATAGATAACTATACAATCTTCCATATTCATATGCTCTTCGCAAGCTGAGTGGTTACCGTGTTGGCTTAAGAAAGCTTTAGCCCACGAGTTCAAATTCAGGGCGTTTTTTTTTTTGTCTTTGTAAATACATTTAAAAACGATGACCCAGATACTCCGTTCTATCTCCCTACCCCTTTCAACTGGTCCAGACAAGTGATAGGATCATAGCATATTGAGAAAGCTAAAAGCATTAAATTGCGCTAAACAAAAACAATTGGAAAAAATATTTCTAATCGCACAGATTTATTATTGTTAGTCAAGATCTATTAGGTACAAATGTAATCACATGACTGATCCAAAGTAATTGATAAGCTTTGTTTTAAAAAAAATAAATATTTTTTGTACTTTGCTTGTTATTAGTTCCCCTATCTGTTCGCAGCTTTTGGGTCCTAAGGTTCTTCTAGAACCAATACAATTTGGGATCAGCAGTGTTTGTAGATCTTCCAGATTATTGCACCGCGAGAATATAGCACTGTGTGCTTTGAAGTACTTGAGGGTCACCAGGTCCTGATTTCTCATTTTCTCTGTATGAGTTTTTACCGCCGCACGTCAACGGAGGTTTAAATTAAAAGTTTCCCTAATTTTTGTATCTGTTATTTGCTTTTGTCTTGTCTGAGTCTCGGGGAAAGGTCGTATGCTAGGCATTAGCAAACATTAATTAAAACTTTTAAAAAAATAATTCTCCCTTGAATCGGTAAATCAGTGTGACCATTCGTTTCTAAACCAACCTTAATCTTTAGAAAATATATACTTAGAATCTTGATAATAAGGGATGGGATCAATGTTAACGAAATGTAAAATGGAGGGAAGGGAAGAACCGCCACATCCTTACTCTATTAGGCTCCATACAGAGTCACTCCTTGATAAAGATTTTTCGCTCTCCATTTTGATTCTGAACTTCAGAAAAATAGTGTAATTTTCTGTCAAAACCACGCCTATTTATATTACAAACTTAGTGCCCCCACTTTGGTTGGTCTAATCCAACCAGAGAGCACGTGAAACTGTTCTCAGTCTGTTGAGCGTGCTTAAGCATTAGTGGGTAGGGCCTATATTTCGTTGATGCTGGTGCAAGATGGAAAACTTTAGAAAAGTCCCGGTCAACACACTAGATCTAAATCTGCCAAGCATTAACTAAACGTAAGCAAACCATTCATTATGTTTGGTGCTTAGTTAATTTCACTTACCATACAAATTAAAAGGACTAGAAGAAAGTAGATGTCTTATCCCTCCCCCCTTATTTTTTTTTGGGGGGGGGGGGGGGATTTTATAGGCTTCTTTTGTTCAGTTGGTGGGATTTCGCACAGGACAAAAAAAAATTAAATTGCAAAACTTTAAACAGATCTTGAACATGACTATTGTTTACTAGTCTAACTCTTGTCTCTACTGTGGAAATTGTGCATTTCAGTTATTTGTCGATTTGTAGACCATAGATGAATAAATTATGTGGACACAGGTCAGGTTTTTTAATAAATTGCGTCATTTTATTTGTTCGTTATTTCTTTTTAATTTTATTTAGCCACCAAATTCACTTCAACTATGAATCCAAGCCGGCCCTGCGACCAAGGTAAGAACCACTGAATGCCACCACCTCCACTTTATTCCTATACTGCCCATGGCTCCGCCCTCCCCATTTTCCCAAGGTGAGAAACGACTTTTTTATTCATTTGCAACTTAGCAGCTTCTATTCTATTTCGGATGTCGTAAACAACGGACAAGCTTCTGGGTGGACCTGATTAGAACTTAACGTGCACTCAGGCCATGGAGACCAAAATAAATCTGTAATCGTGAATCTCTTTGTAAATTTAATGAGCTGGCGCGACGCTCGGGGACTTACCAAAGAAGTCTGAAATAAATCATGACTATTTGTAGTATCTCAAGAATAACAGTGAAAATTAACAAAACAATGCCACGAATAGCTAATATTCACCAGGGCTATATAAAAACATTCATAAGAAAGCTAAAAAGATTTAAGAAATAAAAAATCACCCTTTGGGTCAGATTTTATGATTTTACCACCACAAAAGAGATACAAGATACCGATAGCAAAGACAACAAGACACAAAAACTCTTGTACTCCCAGTAATCAAATCATCAAATACAATTCAACTATCTGATATAAACATTTCACATGTAAATTATGTGTGAGTCTGGTGTGAATGTTTTTGGTTTTCTATAGTTATAATGTTTCGTTTGGTGTAATGCAAAATTGTAAGGCAACTTTCCTTATGGATAATAAACATGATTACTATTATTTGTTAGATAGCTAGTTTAGTTAGTTGGGTTGCGCACTTTAATGTACTGACAGTGAACGGATATTTTAGAATGACGACATAGACTTTGGGGTTAGAGGTTAAGATTGACGTTTAGGAATCAGTTACGGCTAGATTCTCAAGGGGATAACATCGTTCTATAGTGACAGACTAGACTGTGGCCCATTCTGTAATAAACGTTTGTTTGAAGTTCACCTTGAGTCAACTTGGTCATTGAGTCTGTGTTCCTGTTTAGTACCTTATCTATATTTGTGACGGTGTGCACGAAGAGCTCGCAGATTGAAAATACATCATACAAGGTACGCACGCAATTAGTCTACATAATCATTTTTAGAAATACTTCAGCTACATCTGACAACACATGCATCCGTTACATATTATGTTAGAAAAGAACGAGTATTCATTCTCTGGCGGAGCCAGGGTCGAGTTTTGTTAAAGGGAAACAAAATTCATCGTAGTCCCTTCATCAGTGTCCACCGAGGAATTTTCTGGTAATGTGGCAGGTCTGCAGCAGTACCGCCCTCTGACAGGCAACGATAATGTTCGTAGGAATGCCAAGGGCCTCGAAGGTATCTGTGAGGTCAGTTTAATTATCCCCTCGGTTGATATAACAATAGGGTATATTGTTGTTTTAGATAATTTCCATAAACGCTTAATCTCCAAGCTTAGATATATCCATATTTTCGTTGTTTTTTCAGCTCAGTTTTTCTTAAAATGTGAGATAGTGGTACGGCGATGTAAATAATGGTAGCGGCTTTTTCTTTTTTATCGATGAGCAAAAGATCAGGGCGATTAAAATCTACCGTTTAGTCGGTCAAAATAGGTCTATCCCAGTACAGAAGATGATCAGTAGACTCGAGAACCTCTTGTGGTGAGTATTTTTAATAAGGAGGAGTAGCCTTACCAATCAAATTTTGTGTCAGAGCCAAGTGTATTAGCTTTGCAACTTTTGGTTATGGCGACCTATTATTATTATTATTATCGTCATGGTATTTTCTTTTCAGTTCACATATTAAACTCCTAAAACGTTATAATGACCCTCTAACTAACATAATTGGACAAAGACCTTTTTTTTTCAGACTGACCTATTTTGAAGTTACTTGAAGTAACTATTCTGCAGTGATATTCTGCCGGAGCCGAATATGATAGGATAGTGACAAATGGACGGATATTCGGCCGGAGCCAGCGCTACTATCCGGTGCATCTCTATTTGTCCACAACTGACCTTTTAAAATTCTCATATGCATAAGGCAGCAGATGACAATATGTCGGGAACGAAGCATATACATATCTTTCAATATTGGTCTGCCTTTTATGAAACTCTGGGACAAGAGGTTCTCACCAATCAAGTCTTTTTTAGAGTATACAATAGGTGACAAATATAATAAACATAGATATTGATAAATGATAACATAGGCCTAGATACATAATAATATTGATAATATATGCCAAGATACTACATACACATGATACTATAGGTCTACATGATAACATAAGCCTAGATACAATAAGCCTACATGATAATGTTACTGTCGGTTGTTGACTTGTAGCACCAAACTGCTGGTAGACAACTAAACAGCTGTAGGCATATCACACCATAACTAATAAAACTTCAAATAACTTGAATAACTTCCTTTTGTGAACAAAACCAACTAGAACTCTATTTATAATATAGACACAAAAAAAAAACGTCTTGTGATAAAATGAAATAAACCTTGTAGACTTCTGTAATAATACTTTTAACAAAATCTAATTCACTACGATAACACAACCTTTCAGTCTCACTCTCTGGAGTCGTCTGTCCAAAGATCAAATGAGGACAATGCCACCTATGTTGCATCATTGACAACCAATCACTAACATATTCCCTCCATAACCAACCCCCCCCCCCCCCACACACACACGCACTCCATAACAATAACATAGATACCGGTACTTATATAGGGTAAACAAATATATAGATTTAGCTATGAATGAAAAAATAGAAGTAAAAAAAAGTCAGAACGCGTCTGTCTTCTCTGTCTGTTGTGTTTATCTCTAGGGCCACTCTAGACAAACATTTATCAGAGTACCAGCTACCAAACCAAACGGTGTGAAGACGTTTAGATCGTAACATTGGCATGGGTCCTTAAATTTAGTATTGTTACTTCTTTTCTTCAGGAGGAATTAGCTGAGAACATTGAATGCATTATTAATTTATTATAGATAGTTTTAAACATTATGTCGACATGTAGGATATCTTAAACTTCCCAGTTAGTATTTG